ACTACATATCAACGATGTGCCTTAGTGCTAACTGGAGGCACAGCTCTGGTCTTTCTGTTTGGCATTTCCATTCTCTAGACTAAGTGCTCTGTCCTATTAGCAGTGTTTTTAATAGTAGCCTGTGGTAATGCAGGGAGTTTTATCACACATTTGTATTACACAGTAACTTCCTTGTTTAGTTTTCAAGCTCCAAATCCTCTCCTATTGTGCAGGTCTTGGGGTTTTTTTTGTAACTGCAAGAAAGTTTCCGCTGGGAGTTATAGAAATGTGGTATGATTAATCTTATATAAAATGATCTTGGGAAATTTTATTTGATAGTAACTAAGGAATTATAATTCTTCAATGGATAATATGATGGCCACAGCATACAGTACGTTTCCCCTTCCCTCCTGCCCTTTCTCCTCTTTCTTGGACTCCCCTGTTTCTTCCCCCTTCCTCTTCCTCAAACCTCTTCTTTCTTCTCCTCCTCCTTCTCTTCTTTTTCTTCTTGTTCTTGTTCTACTTCTGCTTCTCTTTCTCCTCTAATTCCATATTTTATTTTTATTCTTTTTTCCTCACCCCTTCTCTCTCCCTATTTCTTTCTCTCCTCCCTGCAAGAACATTTTCCTTATTTTTGGACCCAGGTTTAATAGCCCCTATTAATTTTTTGATTGCAATCAACCTGTAGTGAGTATAAATCAGAGGAAAGCTATTTTTAACAGAAATGCACATGCTATGAATATGTTAAAGTTAGAAACATATAAGTATACTTTTGGAACACTGTTACATGGGAATATCAGTAAGTTATATTTTGAAGATACAGGATAAAACATCACAAATGAGGCAAAAAAGTTTTCTTGACCAAAAGACACTGACACAGTTAATTATAGTTTAGAAAAAAAAGTGCTCATTTAAATATATATATTTATGTAAAGAAAATATTAAAAGATTAGATATAATTTTTACAAATATAAGGCAATGAGAAGACAATGTTGGGAGATATTTACATTAAATCAGAACAAAAAGGGCTGTCTAATTATAAAGTTGGTATGAGGAATAAAAAAAAAAAATCCAAACCAAAAATATTCCACAAAACGTGAAAAGAAGAGCAATACATTAAAAAAAAAAAATAGGAGAATCAACATAAAAAATGGTAAGCTCAAGAGGTGAAAGAGAAAATAAACAAATAATTCTTAGAGGGTAAATCTTAGTAGTTACCAAATATATGGAAAAAGCATGCCTTTAATAATATTTGTAATAAAATATATTAAAATTTTATAATTATATCTGAAGACTGAGTGCTACAGCAGCCTCATATTCATCTTCATTCTCTGCCTCTGAGAAAGGGAAGAGATGCAGTTGTTGATTTATATTGTAAGATGCTATTGTTTTTAGATCTTAGGAAATTGATCCAGCTTTCCCTCTTCCTTTTCCACATGTACTCTCACTATAATTTCTAGGTTCTTTTCTTCAGATCTACCATTGTATCTGACTTTGTCATAGACGTTTGTCTTGACTTTCTTCTTTGTTCCCTTTTCCTGGCTTTATTCCTAGCTCAGTCTATGATTGAGAAGGAAGGCTGCATAGTGTAGGGATTTACAGCACAGGCTCTGGAGTAAGCCTACCTGGGTTCAAATCCTAGCTCTACTAACTGGAGGTCAAGTGAAACCAAGGAGAATATTTTACATCTTATTATCCCCCTCTATAATGTGGGAACATTATAGGAGATTCTCTTTTTGTTGTTGTTATTGTTAATTCTCACCCAAAGATATTTTTCCATTAGTATTTAGAGAGAGTTGAAAGGTAGGAGGGAGACAGAGAGAGAAAACATCCATGTGAGAGAGACACATCAATTAGTTGCCTCCTGAATGCACCCCAACCTGGGCTGGGATTGAGCCTGCAACCAAGGTACATGCCCTTAACCGAAATCAAACCCAGGACCCTTCAGCCCATGGGCTGATGCTCTATCCACTGAGTCAAACCAGCTAGGGCAGGAGATTTTCTTCATATGGGGTTGATATATGGCTCAAATATGTCATTATTTATGAATTGCTTAGAGCAGTATCTGGCATACAATAACCGCTGTATAAATAAGGATCAAAATGCATTACATTTAAAAAATATTTTGCATAGATAATCTGTTATCTTCCTTTTAATGCTTACAGTGTTTTGTAATACAGAAGTATTTTTATATAAACATATTGATACTTCTTTCTTGATTTTTAACTTCTCTATAGCAATAAATATTTCATTAGCCAAAATTGTAAGTTTATTCTAGCATATTTATTTTTTATATTAAGTATTTTATGCATAAGTTATGTTGATTACAACTTTATTGAAATATGATTCTGATACTATAAATTAATCCCTTTAAAATGTACAATTTAGTGGTTTTAGTATAGTCACAAAATTTTGCAGCCATCGGCTATCAAGTTTAGAACATTTCCATCATTCCAAAAAGTATTCTATATCTTTTAGCAGTCATTTTCCATCTCCCATTCCTCTCTCTACTGGTAAACATTAATTTATTTTCTGTCTCTATAGGACTGGGTTATTCATGCTGTAAGATATATCAGAACTTTATTCCTTTATTGACAAATAATATTGTATATAAATATGCCACTATGTGTATATCTATTCATCAATTGATAGGTATTGAATTGTTTTTACTTTTTGATTATTATAAGTTAATGAGACTGAATATCTGTGTATAATTGGTGTGTAGAAATATTTTTTGTGTGTTTTTTGCTGTTGTTAATCCTCACCTGAGGATATTTTTTTTCCATTGCTTCTTAAAGAGAGTGGAAGGGAGGGAGGGAGGAAGGGAAGAAGAGAGAGAGAGAGAGAGAGAGAGAGAGAGAGAGAGAGAGAGAGAGAGAGAGAGAGAGAGAGGAGGTACATTGATTGGTTGCCTCCCTCATGTGCCTGGAACCCAGGTACATGCCCTTGACTGGGAATCAAAATCATGACCCTTTGGTGCGTTTTTTGGTGTATGCCTAGGCATTAAACTGTTAGAGACATGATGACCCTTTGTTTAACTCTTTAAGGAGCTGCCAAGCTATTATCCAAAGGAGGTGTACCATTTAATATTCCTACCCAACAAAATTTGAAGATTCCAGTTTTTCCAAATGCTCATACAATTGTATTGTCAGGGTTTTTTTGTTTGTTTGTTTTGTTTTGTTTGCCAGTCTAGAAGATGTAAACTGGTATCTCATAGTGATTTTTATTTGCATTTCCCTAATGACTACTGGTGCTGAACGCCCTTCTGTATGCTTATATTGTCCATTGGAAATTGTCCATTGTAAATCATTTTTGAGAGATAGCTGTTCAAATCCTTTACCCATTGTTTTAATAGGATTATTTATGTGTTTAATTTCATGGTTCATTATATATTCTGGATACAAGAACCATATGAGACAGATAATTTGAGAATTCTCCCATTCTGTGTAGTAGTTTTTATATTTATTTATTTAGTTAGTTAGTTTCATGATAGTGTTCTTTGGGGAGCAAAAGTTTCTAATTTTGATGAAGTATAATTGATCTATTTTTCTTTAGTTTGCTGCACGTGGTCATGGAAATCTTTGCTCAGTTGTCTTAGTGGTGAGCTAATGATCAGACAGAGATTTAATTAAATACCTTGAATCAGTAAATCCTCCAGACTTTGCTAAGGTGCTCCACTTCCATTTATTGACATGTGTTAAATGCTCCTACAAGCATTTACAAGTCTGCGTTAGTCTTCACTAAGGTCAGTCAGAGATGAGGGATTAGGGATTCTGGTCATGGATACAACCCTGAACATTTGTCTGGTCTTCTGTCTTCCCAGGAATACACAGATCTTTTTAAATCTCCTTGTGGACATCCCATTGGTATTTTCTTTTACGTTTATGTTGTTGTTGTGGTGCCTGTTGTTATCCACAACTAGTAAGTAGCTCCATGTTAAACAGCGGATTTTGTGTGTTTTGTTTGTTTGGTTTTTTAATAAAGGCTTAAGAATAGAGGCCTTTAACCAGATGAGGTCTTGGAGAAGTTCTAAACTTGTTCTCAGCCCTCAGGTGTTTGCTAGGATGATGAGTTAAGAAGCTGGTGGGTCAAGACTTCCAAAGCAGCTGAGGAGAGAGGGGCGACACAACTCCCATCATTTATGGAGATTCAGCCGCTTTTTTTTCACCAGGTTTTTTGTTTCGTTTTGTTTTGTTTTTAGAAATAATTGACATACATACATACATACATATATGGTTTGATTCACATATATTGTGAAGTGATTACTACAATTTGTGGTCTGTGGATTGGTGTGAGCTTTTGCCTATTTCCAGAGTTTTAAAAAAGTTGAGTTTAACAAATTTGCCAATCTATCCATTGTTTTCATGAAAGAAAACACTTTCCGGTCTTTACTGTTCCAAAGTTGTTTTTTAGATTTTATTTTTACAAATAAGTGATATTTTTTTCCTTTTTCTTCCAAAGTGTTTATGCAATTGTTCCCATAGCTTTGAAATATTATGGTAAATGTTTTCTAATTGTTTTTGAGTTTTAAAAAATCCTGTTCTATCAATATAGCTATAAATTTTATCTATGACCACCCTGTTTAATTTTTTTCTGTAAATATATAATTAAAGGATATAAAAACAAAAGGAACAATTACAAGTGTGAATAATGTAATTAAGATCTCTTGTTTTAGCTACAACTAAAAAAAAAACATAGTATATCTTTATTCATTGAAAATGTAAACTGGATTAGAAAAAAATATGTGGAAATTGAGTTAGTTTACACATAAACTCATATACTTCATATAAATACTAAAAAGCTATATTTATGAGTGAGATTATACATTTTAAACAAAACATGTCTTACAAAAGTGGTAATTACTAGTCTCCCAACTTTATAGGACTTACAATGATTATTTTGATAATTTAAAACAATATTTTACTCTATTTACTTTGCTCCTGAGTACACTTTTTAAAATTGTTTAAAAATATATTAAACACAAACAGGTCACTTTTAAATTTTACTTTTTTTTCCTATAGGACTTTGGAGATGATGGATCCTTGTATATTACTAAGGTTACCACAACTCACATGGGCAATTACACCTGCTATGCAGATGGCTATGAACAAGTCTATCAGACTCACATCTTTCAAGTGAATGGTAAGAATTGTGGTATTGCTATAATTACTTTTTGCGCTGCTAGATATTCAGAGTATTGTAGTGGACTGGGAAGGTAAGGCTTCATTTTTAAGTCTTTGGACTTACTGTTAATGCAAACCTTTTTTTCAATTAAAAATGTGTTTGAGTTGAATAAATACTGTAAGCTGTACCACTTTTCTCATCAGGAATCATTGTAAAGTATCTCATTCTAACTAAAAAATTAAAGCAAAGAAAATTGAAATTACCTTTTAAGTTTAAAAATATCAACAAATAAGCAACAATATAAATTTTAGAAACTGAAAAAAGAAACATTTAAAAATGTAATCAGATCACCTATTTCATTTATCTTATTAATGATATAGAAAACTTATTATCTATAGCAAATTTTATACTCTTAATGGTTAATTTGATGGCTATGAATATTCGCCAAGTAAGCTGATATCATTCTTGTAATTCAAGCTTTGTTTTCTTTTGACTTAATTCAAATTTTAGTTATTTAGTTGAATTGGTGATATATGATTGCTTATTTCATTAATACACACTGATTCATTTTTATACTAATAAAAATATATATTTTAATTAAACTTGTGATTTATAAAATGAAGGCAGAAACTCCCTTGGCTCCTAATAAAGGAATAATGATGTCTCAGAGCTCTCTCTTCCCAACTATCAGTCTTAATATTATGAATTAATTAAGAGAAATTCAATACATTAGTCTCTCTTTATCTGCAGAGAATAGACCCCCATTGGGTGCCTGAAAGCACAGATAGTACTGAACCCTATATATACTATGTTCTTTCCTATACATACCTATGTTATAGTTTGATTTATAAATTAGGCACAGTAAGAGCTTAACAACAGTAACTAATAATAAAATAGAACAATTATAATAATATACTATAATAAAAGTTATGTGAGTACGGTCACTTGTTTCAGGGTTTCCCTTGTTGAAGTCTTTGTATAGGCTCAGGGTTTATATATATCTCCTTTTCCCCCAGTTGACCCCAGCCCCCCAGCCATTCCCACCCCGGGAAAGCCCCCACCTCCCCAGTGTCTGTGTCCATTGGTTATGCTAATATGCATGCATACAAGTCCTTTGGTTGCTCTCTAACCCCCTCCCCCCGCCCCACCATTTGTCTCTGGATCCATTCTTGTTTATCAAATTATATTGATAATTATATCCCACATATGAGGGAGATCATGTGATATTTATCTTTCTCCTACTGGCTTATTTCACTTAGCATAATGCTCTCCAGTTCCATCCATGTTGTTGGAAATAGTAAAAGTTCCTTCTTTTTTATAGCAGCATAGTATTCCATTATGTAGATGTACCAGAGTATTTTAATCCACTCATCTGCTGATGGGCACTTAGGCTGTTTTTATATCTTAGCTATTGTAAATTGTGCTGCTATGAACATAGGGGTTGTGTATATCCTTTCTGATTGGTGTATCTGGTTTCTTGGGATATAGTCCTAGGAGTAAGATTACTGGGTCAAATGAGAGTTCCATTTTTAACTTTTTCTCCATACTGTCTTCCACAGTGGCTGCACCAGTCTGCATTCCCATCAGCAGTGCGGGAGGGTTCCTTTTTCTCCACATCCTTGTCAGCACTTATTGTTTGTTGATTTGTTGATGATAGCCATTCTGACAGGTGTGAGATGGTACCTCATTGTTGTTTTGATTTGCATCTCTCAGATGATTAGTGACTTTGAGATTGTTTCATTTTATATGTCTCTGGGCCTTCTGTAGGTCCTCTTTTGAAAGTATCTATTTAGATCCTTTGCCCATTTTTTGAATGCATCATTTATCTTCCTTTTGTTAAATTGTATGAGTGCTCTGTAAATTTTGAAGATTAAACCCTTATCAGAAACATCATTGGCAAATATATTCTCCCATGCAGTGGGCTTTCTTGTTGTTTTGTTGATGGTTTCTTTTGCTGTGCAGAAGCTTTTTATTTTGATTTAGTCCCTTTTGTTTACTTTCTCCTTAGTCTCCATTTCCCTAGGAGCTACAAAGATATTGCTATGACATATGTCTACTATTTTGCGCCTATGGAGTCTTGTAGGATTTTTATGGTTTCCCATCTTACATTTAAGTCCTTTATCCATTTTGAGTTTATTTTTGTGTATGGTATAAGTTGGTGGTCTAGTTTCATTTTTTTGCATGTATCTGACCAAATTTCCCAGCATCATTTATTGAAGAGACTGTCTTGACTCCATAGTATGTTCTTGCTTCCTTTGTCAAATATTAATTGAGCATAATGGCTTGGGTTGATTTCTGGGTTCTCTGTTCTGTTCCATTGGTCTATATGTCTGTTCTTGTGCCAGTATCAGGCAGTTTTGAGAACTGTGGCTTGGTAATATAGCTTGATATTTCTTCTTCTTTCTCAGGATTGCTGTGGCTATTTGGGGTCTTTTTTATTCCAGATGACATTTTGGAGAGTTTGTTCTAGATCTTAGGAACATTTTTTCTATTCACATTTTCTACGCATATAATTAGCACATAATTAATGCCTTTCCCATCTTAATTAAGCACTTATTGTGCACTGTGGCTATAACTTTTGCACTTTGAGTTATGAGCAAAATGAGAAGGATTTTCTTTTGTCTTCACAATTTACAGATAGAAGATACTGGATTACTCTAAATTTTAGCAACCTCAGCATACAATTATTTTCTTATTAAATTGAGAACTTTTATCTTTTTACTTCATGGAGGAGCTTCCAGCTTCTCTTTGGCATATCCAAATTGCCAACATCATTACTCTTGTGCTTTGGGGCGATTATTAAGTAAAATAAGTGTTATTTGACCACAAACACTTTGATACCATGACAGTTGATCTGATAATCAAGACAGCTACTGAGTGAGTAATGGTCAGGGAAGGTATACAGTGTGGAGATCTGGACAAAGAGATGATTTATGTTCTGAGCAGGTATACTGAGACTGCTGGATTTTTCATCAAGCTACTTAGAATTATGTGCAATTTAAAATTTATGAGTGGTTTATTTTGGGCATTTTTATTTTGTATTTTTAGACCTCAGTTGACTGCAGGTAACTGAAACTGCAGGAACAAAACTGCAGAAAAGAGAGGAATTACTACTTTAGGAGTGATTGCCTAGGCTGAACACAAATGCTTTCCCTTTTCCAGGAACAAAGATCCCTGAACTTGGGAGTAAAACCAGTCTCTTCTATTATCTCCTACTACATGTAATCTACTTCAAAATCTTTGATATAAATGTTGAAGGATAGGATTTGGAAAGAGGGACAATCATATTATCATTACTGAACATTAGTTGAAGGTGAAGAAAGAGAGAGAGAGAGAGAGAGAGAGAGAGAGCCCTGCAGTCGTTGGAGAATGATGTAAAGCCAAAAGAGGGAGTTTTACAGATGTGATCATTTTTTATGCTGGGGTAAATCCCATCATAAAATCCAGTAAATGTTACTGGACTAGTCCTTTTGCATGTGTGCATCAAAAGACTCGAACAGGAGCTTGCAGCAAAGAGAATAAGGGTATATTTTTAGGAAGTGGTCCCTGCCCTGAGATACAGGTGAGCTAATGCACAAAGACCTGGCTCCCTGATAGCTTTGAGGTTGTGGGTTATATAGGGGAGAAACCATTAATCATAGTGACTAAGGGAGTTAGAGTCATGGTCAGGGCTGGGTCTTTACTGATTGGTCAGTTCTAGGGTAGGAGATAGCTGATCAGTGCATCTGGTCCTGATTGACTTCAGTTCATGATGTTGCTTCGTCTGGTTGTCTGCTTTTCTGTGGCCAGAGAAGACAGTGGGCGGTGGGGAAAGGGAACTTACATAATACTTTAAACAATAAAGAAGTAAAAAATAAAATTCACAATTCAAAAAACAATAAAGCACAACTGAAGCCTAGATGTCATCTCTAGTTTGACTGAAACTCTTCCTCTGGAGTCAACAGACCCGAGACTTTGTTCCCAAAATTATTTGATGCCAATCAGAACCTCTTTGTCCTGAGGGCTTACTGATTAAGGGGTGGCTGTACAAGGGAGAAGGAGGCAGGTGGTGAGTCAGGGTGCTGGATGTGGCCAGTTTTAATCAAAAGGAAAGAAAGGAGAAAAGGTCATATTTAACAAATGGAGTTTTATGCACATTACATAAAATGAAAAGCAACTCATTTAAGAGAAAAGGGGTAATTGCAGTAGTTGAGTCCTTAAAGAGTTGATGTAACATAGTTATACAAATGGAAGGATTGATGTTTGGAAAATGAATAGTTAATCTATTAAAACAGTGAGCAAGACAGACTGGGAACAAGCCCTCAGGGTGGGAGCATGTGGAAATCCTCTTTACATTGCTTGGGTTTTTTTCAGTGCAGTGAGGAATACCAACTATTGAAAATGAGGAATTTGTGAGAACATTAGTGGTTTGTGAAAGGGTAATTATATAAAACTAGAGGCCCGCTGCATGAAATTCGTGCAAGGGGCTTGGCCCTCGCAGCCCTGGCTTCGTCTGGAAGGTCATCCGGACAGTTGTTCTGCTGTTTGGTGTAATTAGCATATGAGCTCTTTACTATATAGGGTACTTACCTTGCAGGACAGGATAGTGATGGAAATAAGCAGTACAGTGGGGCCTTGACTTACGAGTTTAATTCGTTCAGAGACCGAGCTCGTTAAGGAGCTTGTTAACTCAAATTATTCTATCAACTCAATGCAAAAAATTGGCCGAAAGACAGCTGGTATCTCAAAAAACTCATTAGTCGGGACACTCATAAGTCAAGGCCCCACTGTATGTAGTTGTTGTGTTGGGCTTATCTTTGGGAGTTCTGGAGAATATATACTATATTCATATGTTTTTATTCAGCTGTGTTGGCTGTGAATTTCCAATCAGATAAAAACAGTGATTTGGATTTAACCAGCATTTTATTTTGTCAGGCAAGTGAGAGAGAGACATAGAAAAGAAAGTTAATCAATTTATAAAAGAATGATTATAATAACAGGCCATAGAATTAGTGGTAGGTTAAGGGAAGAAGTAAGAC